TGAACTTTTTGGTTGTTCTTCAAAGTTAATTGATGTTACATTTCATTAAGTTCTTGGAATACCTTAACGCCATGAAAAATGTTTTATTAGAGAGAGCTATTGGTCAGATGAGCAGACCCATTGAACACAAAAAGAATTATGAGCAAAATTTCAAAAAGTCTTTTAGAAACTTTTGAAAATATCACCCTACATTATTTTTATTCTTTGCTGGCAATATATCCAATTACTCGAAATTAGTTTTGTAATTAACAAACTGTCATGTCTATCAATTTCCATGGTGCCAGGACAGCTTCATTTATTTCAGTCAAAATACAGATGGCACAAAATCATGTAAATGCCTTATTGCTTTGTGTGATGCAAAGTAACATGAACTATTCCAAATACCCTGGAAATGTTAAGGTAAAGAGTACATTTTTCAAAAGAGCCTAAGGGTATGTCAACACTGCAGAAAAAGACCCATGGCAGTGAGTCTCAGAGCCCTGGTCAACTGACGTGGGCTTGTGGGGCTCACGCTAAAGGGCTAAAAATAGCAGTGTAGACATTTGGGCTCGGGCTGGAGCCCAGGCTCTGAACGCCGGTGAGACAGATGGGTCTCAGAGCCCAGGCTATATCCAAACCCAAATGTCTACACTAGTAATTTTAGCCCTGTAGCATGAGCCCAGTCAGGTGACCCGGGCTCTGAGACTTGCTCCCAGGGGTCTTTTTTTTTTTTTGCAATGCACACACACAAAGTGAGTTAGGAGCCCAAGTGCCTTTGAAAGTCATGTAACAGTGGTCAATTTAACAATCAATATTGGTCTAATGTGATTGACTTGAAATAGGCACTGAAATATGTTTTAAAATACAATTATATTTTTAAAATACTTTTAAAACCAAGAAGGTTCAGTAATTTACTAGCCTTAAATTTGTTTTTTATTCCCTTCAAACAGTGAGTGTGCCTCGACTTCAGAGGACTGTTTGTCCTTGCTGTTCTGTGAAATATCTTCCATAACTCAGTACCATCCCTTAACCTTCTCCCTCAGTTTGTTTTAAATTACTCTGTTCAACTTGGTTCCAGTGAGTTTAGACATTTTTTTTTCCTTCTTAGCTGTATGAAGTTCAGTCTTTTTTAAACACTCTCCTCACTTGGGAAGGGATAGACTGTGGTGGAGAAGAGGATACATTTGTCACTAAGGCTTAGTCTAGTCATCTGTGCATAGGACTGGGAGCCAGGAACTTCTTAATTCTAGTTCCACCTTGGCCACTGACTTCCTAGGGCCTTGAGCAAGTCACTTAAGCCAAAATATTCAAAAAGTGCCCTCTAATGTCGGTCCCAACAGTAGAGACTTTAGGCCTGATATTCAGAGTGCTGAGCACTCACCTCTTCAACTGCAATCAATGGGAGGTGCAGGTATTCAGCATCTCTGAATACTATAACATAGGTTAGGCAACCAAAGTAAGAGGCTACTTTTGAATATTTCAGAGCTTCATTGCTACTCTTCGGTTCTCCCATCTGTAAAATAAGGATAGTACTACTTACCTACATACTTCACTGGGAAATTGGGTTTGTAAAAATCTTAGTTATTATAATACACCCTAATAATTCAGTAAACAGAGATACTCAAGGTACATTTTAACAGTCTTTACTGTAGCAATTCATTCAGAAACAACTCCTCTACAGAGTTATAGATCAATCGGAGAATAAAACATGACCTTTGAAAACCAATATGATGTCTTCCATGTATGATAGCAGCAGAATAAAACTGCTTTAAAAAGGTAAAATCATTTACAATTACTCTATTGCCTTCAGTGGGAATAGTCCACTGACTGCCTGAAATGATTTCTCATTTGTCAGACCAACCTTACAGTGCAAAATTCAAGAAAAAATCAGATTGAGTTGAACACAAAAAGTTCCCATCACACTCCACAGCTGTTACAGTCTGAGATCTTTGTTTCTTCTGCCACTGATGCCCACCTGGAATTTTTGGACTATGCCATTTTGATTGATGCCAAGTCCTCTTTCATACCTAAATCTAAGAAGCCAGAATGGCTTATTGTAAAGAACTGTCCACCTACTTCACAGAGTAGATCACTCATATCACTCATCTCAAGCCAACAGCATCCATTCACCAAGCTCAGAACTGTTAATGTGATGGCCACCATCTTGGCCAGCAAACCTAGGACTGAATTGGGGATCCTCAGAACTAAAACCAGCTTGAGATAAAGAGCCAAGATTCCATAGCTGGGCTGTTACAGACTCATATCCTCTGTGGATCAGGCACAGAGGGAGACCTGTAATACACACTCACCAGTGAGTCCACTAATGCTCAGTGAATTCAGTCCATTCACACAGCAAGAGATACTTGAAATATTACAGGAAATTTGAGTCACCATATCTAACTATCTGGGTAGCACCAGATCCCAATACTGAGCATTAATGTATTTATCATCCTTTGGGACCTAGGGAAATACTATGATGACCATTTTACAGTTGGGAAATTGGAGCAAAGAGAACTAAGTAACTTGACCACGGTCACATCGGAAGTCTCTGGCAGAAGTAAAAACTGAATCCAGGCCTCTTGTGTCAGAGCCATCCTTCTTCATGGGTCACTCTTTCTGGTTAGTGAAAGATGCTCAATATTAATTTGGGCTCTTATTGCCTGAGATTGTCAATGCCACATTTGAGGAAGGATATCTACCAATCACTTTAAAGCACACAATAGTCCGACCAATAGTAAAGAAGCAATCTCTTGGCCTGTTGGGTAGGAAAGGTTCAATTTATTAAGTGTACATAGTCGCCATTTTGGATTGGTAAAAGGACAACCTGTCCTCCATCATGGCACCCCTTCTCCTTCAGCTTTTTGGTGCTTTTTTCGAGTCTGGCGCCAAAGCAAGGAAAAGGCAGGAAAGGTGGTGTCTCGTGGCAATAGAATCTGCCTAGCAACAGAGAACGCATATAAGGGAGTGTTCACCCTCTGAGGGGTGCTCTATGTCTCCGGATGCTGTGAAAGCAGATCATCCCAGTGAGGCATAGAAGCCCTCCCACAGAGTACCAGCCTTGCTATTAGCTAGAGCCCTGAGGGAATAGGACTTGAGGTGAACCAGCAACACTTACCAGCAAAGGTTCCCTTGACTTACCTCCACTCACCTGTTCCATCATCACGTGAGATAGTGTCTGCATTCAGCATGCAGGATTACAAGATCAAGAACAGAAGGCACCACACTGAAGATCTACTTACCTGGCACCAAAGATCCTAAGGTCCAATTCCTGTTGTGTTCCCATTCCTGACACATGTCCCTGAGGTCCTGGTTCCTGTCTGTGTTCCTGTTCTCCTGTCCAGTGTCTGCAAGACATGGTATAGTCGTCCTGTAAAATCCCACTGTGTAAGAGTTTGGGCTCTGGAGTTCATCCCCATTTCCATCATCTGTGTTAGCAACTGAGCAGTTATTCTTTGTGTTATCTTAGTTGCAGGGAGTCCTAGTTTGTTGTGTATCTCAATAAACACCATTTTGTTGTTTGCAACCTTAACCTGCCTGTGTCTTAACTACACTAAAATACCGTTGATAGATGTGGAAGGAAGGTAGGATACTGCACATACTTCACAGAAGATGGGCTAAAACCTAATCTTAACTGTCACTGGCTAACAAGCCCTAAGAGCCTTGACAACTAACTTAGTGTATTATAATAACTAAGATTTTTACAAACACAGTTTCTTAAACAAGATAATGTAAACACAAAGAAAGCAGCATTTCGAACTATACCCTGCTAACGTACCAGACGCCCTCCTAATCAGGCTTCATATGAGGACATGGCATTGGTCCCAGTGATGGATAACCTCCTCCTGGCCATGGATGGGAGAGGACGGTCACCCATCATCATATTACTAGACCTCTTCTGGGATTTAGCATCATCTGCCATAGTTTACTAATCTCTTGCATCAAACAAGTAGCTGAAGTTAACAGAAAAGCACAGACTTCTCCAATCCTCCCTTTCAAGCCAGCCCCAGAGAATGCTGATGGAAAATTGCTCCATCACCAGACTACTCATTTATACTTACATCATTTATTAAGGTAAGATTGTGGCCGAAGACAATTATTCAGAAATAAACCTAAAATCATGTTATTATATTGCACATTAGAAGAATAAACTATGTTTATTGGTTTTTGCAAAAACTTTGAAAGAACTGGCAAAGCATTTCTATAGCTATTAACATTAATAAGAAAATTGTTGACATTAGTAAGTTCTGTTAGAGAAAAAAAATAAGCCTAAAACAACCAGCCAACAAACAAAAATGGCTTAAAGAAAAATTTGAATCAAAATCTGATTTGAAAGACACTCAGAAGTGAGAGACTTGTTACATGTCTTGGGCAATTTGTTGATAGAATAAAATGGTCCTGCGCTATGAAACCTTCCTGGGAATACACCACGGTATCACCAGCATCAGGAACATGACAAATCCCAAAGAGAGGGAGGTTCCTGGCAGATCCGGCACCCCCTAGATTGTCCAGCTACATAACAACTAATCACAATACTGGGGAAGCTCTGCCAGCGCACACAGACAGCTGGGGGTGGTTTTGACAGTCTGGATGTTTTCTGTTCCACTCGTTTAAATCCAGATCCGAATTTTAAAGCCATTTCGTAGTTTGTACAGCCCTTGCCACTGGCTGCCGCACACCTTGCACCCCTGCTCGGCTTCTCAGTCTCCCCCACTCCCCTCCCCGACCACTCCGAGGCAGAACTAGACTGACGCTCCGAGCCAAGGGCGGGTAGGGGCCGCAGCTTCGCTCTCCTAAGGGGCATGTGCACACCCCTCACGCCGTCCCCCCGGGGGCCCCTGGTTCGCGGGTGGAGCATGGGCAGAAGCGAAAGGGGCAGCTTCTGAAGCAGGGCGGGGTGTCCCCTCAGGCTGCCCCGACAGCGCCGCGTGGGGGGCCGGGCAGCCCCCCAATGGCCCCGCGAGCCCGAGCAGCGCGCCCGGCCGCTGCCCAGCGCCTCCTTAGTTCAGCTCGGGCAGCAGCGCATGCGCCTGCCATTGGAGCGCTCTCCAGCGGCTCTCCGGCTGAGCGGGGCAGAGGGGAAGGGAGTCGCCGGGGTCTGCTCCAGCAGCGGGGGAGAGATGGCTGGGGAGAACCAGCACCAGACCCTCCGGAAGAGCATCGCCGCCCAGCCGCCCGCAGCGCCGCCCCGGCCGCCCAGGAGCAACAGCTCCGAGCGAGTGACTCTGAAGAAGGAGATCGGGCTCGTCAGCGCCTGTGCCATCATCATAGGTAAGAGCTCTCTGCCCCGGCCGGGCACCGAGCCGGGCCCCGGCTGCGGTGACCCCAAGTAAGTGCGCGCGCGTTGGGAGAAGGGTTTATCATTAAACGGGGTCGGTCCCCGTTGCTGCCTGCAAGCATTATTCTGCGGGGGGGTAAATGGTAACGCGCAGGCTGGTGGCGAGCAGAGATCAGGGCTGCGAGTGCCTTTGCTAAGCGCCCTGCAGCGTGCATGCAACAACCACGACGTGGTTGTATTTCATTTCTTCATCATTGTACCCTGGGGAGGCAGATTAATGAATTGAGCTCTCTTCGGGCATGTGTGGATCGGGGAATTAATATTTATGGAGCAGTATTTATTATATATAGACCGAAGAAAGATTAACAAATAAAATGCATTTCAGAGGCACTCATTTGTTAATATGAAACACTTTTCCTTCCCATGCAATGAAAATTCCTAGGTACAATAACTTTATTATGTGCTGCCTGTGTTTCAAACCAATAGATAAAACTCCTAGAATTAGGTCATTTCGTTTACAAAGGTGTTCTCGAGGGTGGTGTAATAAACTATAGCATTGATTAATATGCCAGCACATAGACTGATGCCAAAGTCTACAATTCCTGAAAATTCTGATTGAAAAGCCAGTATACGGAAAGTGTCACCATAATCAAGGGGAGCTGTAGATATAAGTTGCTGAACTACAGGAGATTCAGAACCTTCCACACTGCATTTTACAGTATGTACCAAACCCAAGTTCTCTGTTATCTTAAAGAAAGGCAACAGTAGAAGTCCACATAAAGACCTAAAGTTGTCAGCCAAAGCATCCAGCATTGTAATCCAAAATAGATTTTAACCACTTTTGATTTAAAGCCTATTACAAATCATTGTCTAAATCTGAAATGCCAAAGTATAATTGGTTTACAAATAAAACTCCATTCACAAGACTCTAAGTCAATAGATAAGAACCTCAACATATTAACTGTCATCTATTGTAATACAATCGTCTTCCATCTACTAATATAACTATATTAAGTGATGAGATGAAATCAGATTTTTCCAATACCAATAAACTGTCCACAAAGAAATAACATTCTATTTCATTACAGAGATGATTTCTTACAATGTATTTATGAAAAGTGATAACTGGTACCTGTTTCCAGAGCTCTGGCATTTTTCACTTTACAATTAGGAGAGTAAAAATATGCACAAGAGTACAGGACAGTGAGCCTGCTCCAAATGTCAAAAGTCTACAATCCATTCCAGTTCATCTTTCTTGATGACTAAGACTATGCTTGAAAAGGAATCCATTCATTTTATTTCTACAGGCAAAACCAACTATTAGAATTATTAACAACATAGCTAAAAGTTAAATAAGTACTGTATTAACATTTCTTTTTGAATTATAAACTCTCAAAACCAATCTGGTCTGAACCTGAACTATTTGCATTGCCTTTCGTATCCTAGTGATCTCATCATCTTGCTGAACACAATGAGTATTGTAGTTGTACTAAGATTAAGAATATATCATCTGCTACTTTTCCAGTAGCTCATTATTGTTATATGGATTTTATATTATTTTGATTACACATTTTAGAAATTTGAGCTGACTATATTGATTTCTTGAGTATCTGCAAACACTCAATCATCCATTCTTACACCTCTCTGTGTGTGTGTAATCCCAATTGATATTGCATGCTCATTTCAATGCAAAATTCCATAGAATCCTAGCACCTGGTCCTAAACTTTTACTTACATCAGTAAGTCACTGAGACTGCTTATGTTATGGCTTTAAGATTTGGCCCTTTCTGAACATAATCTGTGCAGTGTTACATTAAACTAACCATCTTCACTCAGGAGTGGCTTAAGGAACACACTAAGACCTGTTATTTTACCTGTTTTAACTATAGTGCCCAAAGTATCCCAAACTTAACAATCCGATTCAAAGTCTCTTCAGACGCAGCATCAAAGTACCAATGCCAACAAATGGAAATGAATTTATAACAAATGTTACATTGGATCAGATGTAAAATTTACGTATTAACCATCTAGAGTCATTAAAGGCCTCGTGGCAAGATCTTAAAGGGTATTTAAGAGATCTTTTTGCAAGAGCTGGGCCATTTGACCTGGTGTGCTGGCCAGATGCCAGTTTGGGTAATTATAATCTGCTTAGTTAAATTCTTGATTCATTTTCATTTGGATATGCTATTCTTATTCACTTCATACCTCAAACTGTTGTGTAGTGTTTCTATGCAGTGTTAAACCACTGCTACGTTCACCTCATAGGTGGTTGTATGTCAGCGGTGAGTGACATGATCACTATGGGCCATACTCAACAAGGAGTCTCATTAAGGGCTGTAACTACCTAGTCTAATTACCCACATGGGCGAAAGCTCCACCCTCAACCTTGATCCCTTGTTTGGTCTTGCTCAGATTTTGACTTGGCCGTGTGAGAGGTGGGGGGCATTTGGCAGTGCACAGGCTACTTACCCAGTATTTTTCACTAGGAGCAAATGGATGGGAGGGGACTGGAGAGGCAAGTGAGAGGAGCCTTGGATCCATCCCCAATTTGTCAAAGAGTGTAGACATCCAGGTGCACAGACTCACACACATGCCTCCCAGAACCCAGGTGAAGTATGGGAGGAATTGTAACAGTCACATTCTCCAGTCTGCTCCTGGGGTGATGCAGCTACACACCATCCTTAGTCAGGGCAGATTGTAAGTTTACAATTTGGTCCTTTTGTACATTCCTTTGTTAACCTTGGTAAAGTGTTTGGGAGCCCTTTCAGATGAAAGGTGATATATAATATAATATAATAATAATATAATTAATGGAGATATCCCATCTCCTAGAACTGGAAGGGACCTTGAAAGGTCATCGAGTCCAGCCCCCTGCCTTCACTAGCAGGACCAAGTACTGATTTTGCCCCAGATCCCCAAGTGGCCCCCTCAAGGATTGAACTCACAACCCTGGGTTTAGCAGGCCAATGCTCAAACCACTGAGCTATCCCTTCCCCCATGCCCATATACATGCAAGTTATTGTTGGGGCAGCTGTACAGGGAATGTAGCTCCCTGAAAGTGACATGAATTACCTGCTCCCCAGCTCAAACTGTGCTCGGAGCAATTGGTCTGGTGTGTAAGTGGGGAGAAGATAAACTAGGCCACAAGTGTGAGCTGTGGAGCTGCACAGGGACAGAAAGCCATGAGGGCTAGAAACGTTCCTTTTATAACCGAAAGCTGGGATTCTCAAATAGTCACATGGACCTGGTAGTTATGGCTTTAAGAAAACTACCACATACTGGGAAACTCACACTAAGGTTGACAGACTGAGCAATTCTGTAACTGGGTGTGTTGGCTCCCCCCTCTTCATGTCCTCTCCCCAGTTAATTACCATGGGGGTACGGTGATTCTAATGGGTTCCCAATCCCTTCATGTCACCTTGTTTGACTTGTGTTTCGGAGCTGTCAGAGATGTCTTTGGGCTGTGCCACCCCATCTGCAGCAGGGGAGAAATCTGCCCCATGCTAAGAGGCCATGGAGGTGCTATACATGCTCAGTACCTTCCCTGACCTCATCCACAAGCACCCAACTGTCAGTTGAACTCAGTAGAGTCAAACACAGCCTCTGGGAGGAGAAGGTGTCCCCCCATGAGGATACAAAGTAGTCACCATGGCTGCACAACCTGGGTGGGTCACAGAACGCCGGCAGGTTCTGCTCTTTGGCAAGACAGGGCCTATAATTTGTTTAATTCACTTGAAATAACAACTGCTATGTAACTGATTGATGGAACTGCTATCAATATAATTAAGAAAATTGTTTAAAAGACAAAGGGGAATTGTCATGTTGCAAAGAGTTCTGCATTCAATGGCATGATTACTGGGGAGAGTATGGGCTTTTCTACATTAAAAAATTGCACTAACACCACTACATCAGTGTAATTACACCAGTGCAACTCCTAATGCTGATGTACTGCACTGGTGCAGAGTAGGAATAACATTGATGTAACTTAATACAGTAATGAGCAGGGGAAATGAACAGCTCCCAACACCCACAGATCCCTGAAATCTTCCTGGATTTCAAGAGATTTGCTAGAGTCTCTGTGGTCTCTCCTGATCCCCTGTGCCTTGCCTCCCCCACCATCCCTCACCCCCATCCCCCTTAAAGAGGTTTCCACCGCATTGGGCAGCTCCACAGCCTAACGCTTTCCTGGTTTTTACAGTGGATTTCCTACTGATTGCCATGGTGTGGCAAGATGGTCTTAGTCCACCAGTCTCCTTCTACTTCCTGTCTCCCTCTGGATACCTCAAGGATATCTCAGGATTATGGGATGGGTTGTAGGATGATGGGGGAGACAGAGCCAGGAAGATGACACCCCTACTTCCACATGGAAAAAAAGGGACATCTTCCCACAAATCTTGGCAGGTAACCATCCAGCTTTACATTAATTGAAATGAAGAAAATATTCTCTCTGCACCTGCAGAATTGGCTACTGCTGTCAAAAACAGGTTTAAGCACTTTAACAAACTCTGGTTCCAGGTGCTTAGCCAGTGACTTTCACCAGTTCAGTGATCTGACTTTCTTTAAAACTTGGCAGTAAACATGTACTGCTTAATACTATCTTTTGTATTAATTTAAATTATTTGAATTGACTAGACTAAGTTTAGGCCTTAACATAGGTTATCAATTTCAAATTTAATTTTAAATAAGTTTTAATTAAAAAAACTGTATTTAAATAAATACAATTTTTTTTAAATCAATTTTTAATCCATCCTGGGTTAGATGGCTTTTACCACCAGAAAGATCCGAGAATTCTGCTGAATTTTATTCCATGCTTTGGTAAAAACACCCAGAAAATCCTAGAATCCCATGTGCTAGACTTGATTTGAATATCACACATATGGGTAGCATTGCCACATATCTTGAAATCTACTAATGCACAGCTATGAGTAATAACAGTAGTGGCTTTGTACATGGTATGTGGCAGTGCATGCCTATGCATATAACATTACAATCA